ATTTACTTATAGCAAATAAATAATATTTACTCAATAAAAAATGATAGTTAAATCAAATTAATGATTTTTATATCAAATTATGTTTACAGTTAGTAAATATTTACTTAGAACTATTCAAACAAATATTTATTAAAATTTAGTATTTTTCTGGTCATTAATAATTATCGTCAAATTAATCAATTTCAATCAAATATACTCGTTTTACACTGTAAAGAAAATGTCTAAAATAAATAATATGTGTAAAAATACACCTTTAATAGTTGGTCCAAAAATTACCATTGCAATTTTACATGTAATTTGTTTACAGTGTACAAACGACAAACAATACTTTAAAAAAATAGTTAATTGGGTACTAATAAAAAGTCTTTATTATGTACTTTCGAAGAAAGGGGCCCACCCTCTCTAAAATTTCTCAGAAAATTCCAAAGTTTCAGCTCGTGATCGTATTTGTGATCGTCCAATAATTATGGACGCGCATCCCGATTAACTGCAATTAACACCTTTCAGGACTAACATATTCGCAACTGTGAAGCTGCGAAAGACGAAGACTAACGACCGTTCGGCGCCAGCGCTGTCATGAGACAAGATCTTTCTCTAGATTGTGCATATCTCGCGATCCAGTAGTGATCTCATGATGCGGAGACGGATGTGTCTCTCTTATTGAACAAGTTCCTTCGTCGCACAGCTCTCCACGCGAGACGAGAATCAACTGCCACGCGCTTATCTCTCTCTCTCTCTCTCTCTCTCTCTCTCTCTATCCGCGAATTTCTCTCAAGAATTAAAATACGCTAACCCTTTCCGTATCTACGCATCATATTGCATCTGCGCTTTTTTTATAATTTCCCTCGAGTCTAGATCCGTTTAGGATACCATGTGGAGCGACGCATGGAGATAGCTCGCAGGTTTCCGGTGGCGTTAAACGAAGTGTTGACGCAATTCTGTAGCGTCAAACGAAGGGTTAGCACCATATAATTACGTCAGTTCTGCGCTGTTAAATAAAAGATCGGCACGAAAACTACACTAATACGATGTTAAATAAGAGAACAGCCATCTTTACTGCGAAACGAGTTTTTCTAATGTTAACTGCACGTTAACACAGTTCTACAGTGTCGAATGAAAAGCTCGTACAGTGAAAGTGGATCAAGTCCGTTGTTTGTACAGTTTCACATAAAGTTGAACTTGAAGTAGGCCTCACGAATGACGGACTTGCTCCATTTTTGTTCTGAAGTCTTTTAACAGCGAAAACTAGAACTCTTCCGACAACTTGTACGACGAGTTGAGAGATGAAGAGAAATCGTTGGAACTTCTATACATTTACCGCTCTATCAATGTATTATATTTAATATTCTACTTATATATGTAAACTCGATATTTGGTACTGAAAGGGTTAATGTCCAAGAATTTGATAGATTTGGATTTTTGTGTGTAACACACGTCATTTTGAACACGCGTTTTTAAACGTTTTTCAATATTGCATTTTAAAGGTATATACATAGATATAGATTTAGAGCATATTAAAATAATATATTCCAGCGTAATTTAGGCGCGAAACGAAAAGAAGACGTCCAATTCGGAGCGAAAGGTTTCAGGTGGGTTTTACGGCAACCACTTTTTGTAATTTAAAACGCAGTAGTTAAGAATTCAAGGAAGTCGCAAGGAAGATGAGAGATGTTAATATATTATGAATAATATATTATAATATATTATATATATTATTGTTATTATATACACCAATTTTTTAACGTATGTTTGTCAACTTTTTTTCATTCCTTCCTCTTTCTTTTTTATCTTTATCCTTCTATGTATTCTGAACTCTTTATACATATATGACATATACATATATATATTATACAACTTTGCTCATAAGTATAAAACACCCTTACAAATTAATGTAAACATTTTATATTTAACGAAAAATGAATTAAAAAGTTTTAATGAAAAATAATATTTTTATTAAAATTTAATATTTTGTTAGTCGAATTTTGGTTTTTATTATCATTTTTTCCAAGAAAATGCTATAAATCCCAGTAAACACAATGTCATATGTTACATGTACGTTACATGTGACATTGTATTTACTGGGATTGAGGATTCTTTATGTATAAAATGCGATAAATTGAGAGTTATATATGGCCAAGATTGTATATGTACTATCCTATATAATACTTTTTATTTATATGTATGTATAAAAAATGGAGACAATATTCTATATACATATATATATATATATCAATAATTTATCAGAGTAATAATTTCACGTAATCTCATACTTTTAAGACTTTTATTTGATCTCGTAGATGAAATTAAGTTACTGCAGACAAGACTGAAATGATTTTAAACATTCGATATTTTCCAAGTTACTCTGGTATAAACTTCCATCGGCAAGACTCTGGTACGTAATCCCGGAATTAAGTCATCCCCATCCCTTCTAGTTCTTCGTAGGAATATTTTAGGAGGAAATCCCGCGATCCGTCAGAAGATTAGTCCTCAGCGACTTTTCAGCGAAGAGGTCCGCATTTGAATATCCACCATCCCTCACAGGTAAGTGTTCCCCTCTCATAACGGCGGCGCATTTATTTAAATTAATCGCAGAGCGTTTAATGGCAGCGATCAACGAACGCTTTCACAAGTTCCCAAGCAAGGATCGGGGTCGGTCTGGACGGGCACATTGCGTTTTCTCATTGCTCCCTTTTTTTCTCCCCACGGTGCCTTTTCAGACCGCTTAAAACGTCTGAAAGTTGTATAGGCGCCATTATGCGGTAATTATCGGAAAATCGAAGGTGTCGACCACGCGGGAATTAACGTAATAGCCGCAAGATGCGTTGTATATACATATATCTACCGCTTTTTATTTTATCTGACTTTGTTCGAGCAAATTTCTTTGCTCCCGCTTTATAAGATAGAAAATACATTAACAAAAATTTGCTCATAGAATATTCAAGTTGTATTTGCTTAATTCTCGAGTTCTGTGAAACTTTTTTTATAATTTTTTTACAATTTTTATTACTTTCTCAACTCTTTCTCACTTTTTATAGTTTTGCTTAATTATTCAATTCAATTCATTGCTTAATTATATACGAAATATTGAGATATTGGCAAAAATAACAATAAGTAAAAGTTTATTAATATTTATTATGTGTGTAAAAAGTAAATATTTTTACATTAGTTTTTTTAATTTTCATAAGTAATACTTTTCTATAGTGATTTTCTTAGAGGAAGGTCACAGATACTGACATAGGTCTCCTAAAGCGACATCCCAATTCTTACGGTGTTCTTTTGCAAATTGCGTAATTAAAATAATAGTGACTGTATTATTGATAATATTATGTCATTTTAAATGTTTATAGTTTCATAAACTAGTTTTCTTTACAGAATAGGATATATATCTTTATTTATAGAATGGGAATGTTGGCATTATTGCCTACTATGTCAGTTTTAGAGCCCATTTTGTCAGACGCTCATTTTTTGCATAACTTACGAAAAACTTAATTATTGCAAAATTGCAAACAGTACTATAAAAAATGCTTATACTATCTGATAGAAGACACTTTTTAGTTTGTATTTATGTTTTTGAAGTTGTATTTTTACCTTTTGTTTAAGAAATATTGTCTAAAAACAAAGTGGTATGTATCAGTGACCTTCCTCTACGTTTTTCAATCGTTTTTTTCTTTTTATTAATAAAATGGTTATATCTATTAATAAATAGACAGATTATTAATAAAATTTTCATTTTATCAATAAAATAAGGATTATTTTAAATGACATAATGCAAACAATGCGCTGTTGCTGCGACTATCGCTGTTGGACATTAAACATTAGCAATATGGCGCATCTCCTGCGGCATGTATTAAGCTCGTTTATGATTTCGAGTCAATATGATGTGCACGTCGTGTGTACGTGCACGTACGTGTGCGTGTATTTACGTTACTTTGAACCACCAAATTCCACGGGTGGCTTTTTGGCTTATGGAATGCACCAAAGCCGAGCATATTTGCTAAGCGGTTAATTATCATCTGCGGTTACCCACCCTCTCAAATCCCTTCATGAGTTACTCTGCAGGACGAACGTTGGCTGGCTGAAAGAAAGATTAATGGGAAATAATTTGATGAATTAACACTTCTGTCACAATTTTCTCCTTTTCGAAGACATATTTGAAGCAGAAAATAATAAATAAGTATTATAAATAATTAAATTTCATGAAGAATATAAATCTCTTTGTGAAGATGATTTAAATCTCGACTAAATGAAATGAAATACATTGCCCATAGCACCATTACGTGCCTCTAATTAATTTTTTGCGAATGAGACTCTATTTGAAGTTATTTCCTTTTATTTTATAAACTGCTGGTTTTCGATTTTTATGAAATTTAGCCTATGAGATAATTTTTTATAATGCTTTATCTGAACCTGAAGTAAAAAATTAAAAACGATGAATCCAATATGGTGAACGGAATAAAAAAATAGTCTAATTATATCATAAAACTCGATTTTAGAAAATTTTTAATTGCGAAAAATAACTTCAAGTTTCTAATTTCATTTAATTTGAAGCTTATCAGTGCTACGCAAGCAGTCAGTATTGATTTTCAAATTGACTTCCAAATTCTGATTATGAATCCTATGACATTAGAGCTTTCTATATTATCTATTTTCGGACAACATTCAAACTCAGCAACTCTCCTAAAACCGAATTTCATGCTAATCATATTATTTTTTTTTAAATTCCAAGTTTAGAATTCTGAGGCCAGAATTGAATTCAGCAATCCCGAATTCAAACAACCCTTAAAAAACAAGATCTTCTTTAAGTTTCTTTATTATAAAAAACTGTCACATCTTCAAAGAATTAAGAGTATATAGATGCATATATTATTTGTATATATCAATATAAATACTTATTATTATATTTATTTTAACTTATCTACAAATCTGCAAGTTGTTTTAAATCTTCTTTATTTTTCATATTATTTTCTATCTTAATTAACTTTCGATTAAAACTTTTGTTTTTAAAACGAATACTTAGGTGCCGTGCCGCACCAATCCTGAAGAAATACTAAAATGTCGTTTAGCGGCGAATCCGGTGGTGCTTGTCTGGCTGTGTTGATCAATTTAGTCCAGTCGTCGCGATCAGCTACGCGGTTGGTCTCTTCGAATCTGACAACCGGGCCGCGCATTGGATATCCCGTGATCACGCATTGCTGAAGAGGCGCGCCAGAATTTGTCGGCGACGTGAGGGAGCCAACGTAGACACCTCTCTGGTCGACCGGTAGACCTTGCTCGATCTTTTGGTCCATAGACACCGCCAACACCCACTCTCTCGCTTCCTCTCGTTGATCCGTTGCGATTCCGAGTTTTTCCGGAAGTGGAACTTCTAGGGGAAAGTCAGTGACACGTAGATCGTCTACGTCTAGAACGTTGCCGTCACCTTCCTCCTCGATGCACTCCTCCAGATCGAGAAAATGATTAAGAAAGACGAAGGCTTCGCTCAGAAGACCAGCGGTACGGGCTACCATACCAGCTTCGTAGTAGCATTTGTCGGCGTGAAGAATGTCGGTGTATCGCAGGAGACTAACCGACGTCTTGACCACAACGCCAGAAAGCGCCGGAAAAGAACGGCAACCGTGCTTCACCGCTGAGAAATGAGCGGCTTTCAGAAAATGCTCGAATTTGTCGGAGGACGGTGATGAGCGGTAGAGACTGTGTAGAACGTCACGGAGTTGGGACAAATATCTGGAATTAATTAATCGCGGATAACATGAAAAAATGTAAAAATCAAAAGTGTGAAACAAACGCACAGAAAAAAAATGTTTGGTTGAATTAATTAGAATTCTGGTAGAAAATAAACAATCCAGAATTCTAATTAAAATCTACAAGATTTTTGGTTAAATCTATTAAAATTCTAATTGAAGTAATCAACACTCAATAAATTTAACCAGAAATCTAGTAGACTCAACCAGAATTCTGGATCGTTCATTTTCCACCATAATTCTAATTAATTCAATCAAACATTTTTTCCGTGCGTACTAATCAAAATTTTGAAATTTACATAAAGATTCTGAAAAATTATATGAAAAAATTTTCTTGAGGAGAAATATTACACCTGTAATCTTGCTGCGCTGCATTCAGGATGCTCTCTGCCAATTGCAGATACAGATTAAAATTCTGCGAAATCGCGGGTGCGCCGTATTGCGCGTAAAGCTGCAGTGCCTGCTGCGCGGCGTCGTTCTTCAGCAACTGTGCGGCACGCCGAGCCACAAATTTGTGCAGCACCTCCGAACTTTGCGAGCTCGCGACATCGAACAATTGACTCCATTGACCTTTGCGCGCCATTACTTCGAGGGCGGCATTCCCGTCCACTTCCGCCAACCGTTCTATTTCGCCTTCGTTCGCCATAGCGTCCTGATATTTCTCTTCTAGGTATGGCTCGAGATCGGGAGCGAGCTCGCGGACAATTCGTCGCGCGCGATCCCATTCGCCAACAGCCACCAGTGAACTCACTGCGTCCTTTAACCGATCCGCTTGAAGAAACACCTGCAATGATGAGTCGTCATAAATTATAGATATTAAGTTATCCTAAAAGTTCTTTTATTTTTTTTATTTTATGAATGATGCAATTTACCGAAGTATATATGAGCCACTCTATCACTTTTTCTCCATCTCTCTGGAAGCTTCATGACGCCATTTTTCCAAAATTTTGTTAATTTAAATTACTAATTGATTCGAGCTAATTTTATGTCATTCAAAAACTGAATTTTTTTATCACGAAGAAAGTTTTTTAGAGAAAGGAACAAAGTAATCAGAAGAAGTCAGAGAAGCTGAAGTAAAATATTCCAATCAAACGTCAATAACTTGTTCTGAATAATCAAACGCATCTCTTTGAATAAATAATTGAATTGTTTGAATTAATAAGATAAAAAAAATTACCTGAGCGGCAAGCGCGTGTTCACCAACGGAAAACAAACGTGCACCCAAGTCACCGCCGATTTCCGCCGCCGTTTCGGGATCCGCCTGATGTAAAAGGATGTCAGCCGCACGAATGAGATATGATCTCGGCGCCTGCGGGTTCAGAATCAAGGTGTCCAAAGCAGGTCGCACTTCCCCGAGATCAAGCCACTTCCGAGCTTCTTCCAATGCATTTGCTCCGTCCAATCCCGCGCTTCTTTGACCTAACTCTCTGCGCAGTGCTGCCTCCTGACTGGGCAAATATTCTCGACACACTCGCAGTGCCTCGGACCACATTCCGGCTGTCTGAAATGAGAAGATTTCTATGCAATCAGATATTAAATAGAAGAAGCAGAGATACTTATTAGACCTCCGTATATAAGCATCAAGTAATCAATCTCTGGAAGAATTTTTTAAACTGCTCACGGGAATCTGGGGGAGGGACCAACCTTATAATGCTCTATTATCATTTCTGGCTTGTGGGCCCTTAGAAGAAGAGCCTCTGCTGTAGCATAGTCTTGCCCTTCGGCGGCCTCGGCGGCTCGAGCAATCAAGACTTGCGCCACTGCTTCCTGGCTGTGCGATCGTGCGACGTCCTCGGCTGACTCCCAGTCGCGGGTATGAATGTACATCTGTACTGCCTCCATAGTCTTGCCGGCCTGCACGAATTCCTTCTCGGCTTCGACAAAACGACCCTCGTCTTCTAACGCCATTGCGTAACGGTAATGAACTTCCTTCTTCTGATCCACTGTGCCATATTTGGCAATCTCCAGAGCCCAGTCAAACAAATTAGCCTCACATGCCAATTGCAGGCAAGGTTCTAAGTAACCGAGTCGCATCAAGAGCCTCGCACCTAATTCTGGAGCCAACGTTCGAGCCCACATCAAAGCAACCTAAAAAAAAGCGGGAATCAAGCGTGTTAACAGAGAAAAATGGCTGCGCAGAAAAAGTTTTGCAACTGTTGTAAATTCTTTAATATGAGATTGCCTTATATACATTTTAGATTCGTAAGGAGCTATAAGAAAACAAAAATAAATCATATTAAAAAATCTTACAAGTTGCAGAGATACTTTTTCTATTGAACGCAACCTATGAAACAACAATGCTCCTCAAGCTGTATAAATTTTAACCTGCTGTGCTGCCTTTTCTCCCGAAGCTTTCTTAGCGACTCTCAACGCATCCTCCCACATGTTCGCAGATCTATAAGCTGTAACCGCTCCGCGCCAGTCACCGGCACCTAAGATGTGAAATTACAATTTATATATTCATACTAATTAACCAAATTGTAAATTAAATATTTTAATTTTTTTATGTATCCGATACTGATTAAGTATTTATACAAAAACAGAAAAATATTATAGAGTTGTATAGTTGATGATTGATTACAGCGATTTTTGTGGAATCAAATAATTCATTCATTGAAGAAAACATCATTTTCTTATTAGAATTATGGTTGGTTCAAGTCTTTTGAAACCGACCTAGGAAATGCTCTTCAGCTTCTCTTGGCTTGCTGGCTGCGTCTAGCTCTCTTGCCAGATGCTGGTGAGTAGTCTGAAGTAGATCTGGTCGGTGCTGTGCGACCAATCTGACCATATCACTACGATTTCCTGCTTTGCGATACATAGCAATTGCCGCGTCATGATCACCGATTGCGACGTAAAGAGACTCGGCGTGACGAAGCTCGCCATTCTGCTGCAGGCTCTCGGCGTGCTTCGCCAGCACTTGATTAGCCTCGTCGCTCTTCATGTGTTCTTGAGCTACCTGATGCGCACGCATCCAGTCACCAGATTGGATGTGAATCTCCACAGCGCGTTGGGCATTTTCGGCGCGAATGAAGAGACTCTCCGCCAAGCTCCGTTCGCCTATTGACGAGAAGTATTCACCCAGTTTTTCGCATTGTTGACGAATCTCCGGATTATCGTCCTCAATCACCTGAAGAAAATGTGGAAAAAGAATATAGTAAACAAATATAATAAAAATGAAAATAGCGTGAAAGTAGATATAAGTAAGATATAAGACATACACTACCGCGCTCATGGAAGTTCGAACACATAAATTTTGTCGAATGATCATGTAAAAAATTAAGACATTATAAAACAGCAATTGTATTATTTTGTAAATATATTTTAAATCACGTGTACACATACTAACAATTACAAAAGTTTTATAAATTATTTTTAATTTTATATGCCAAAATGTATTACTTTTATTTCGTAGAACATTGATAGTATAATCGGTAAATTTATAAAATTTACTTTTGGCATATAGAATTAAAAATAATTTATAAAGCTTTTGCTAATCTACCCCCCTATGGGGATAGACTGGCAACGTACACCATAGCATGAGCCCACATTTGTGTTCTCTCTGAGCAAATTTTTGAAATTTATCGATTATATTATCAATGTTCTTCGAAATAAAGACAATACTTTTTGACATACAAAATTAAAACTAATTTATAAAGCTCTTGCAATTGTTAGTATGTATACAAGTGATCTAAAATATATTTACAAAATAATACAATTGCTGTTTTATAATAAAGTTTTAATTTTTTACATGATCATTCGATAAAATTTATGCGGGTGTCCAAACTTCCATGAGTCCATGAACGGTAGTGTATATTAAAATTACTACTACTGCACCTGAATAATTTGTAAAGCTTTTCTCCACTGTCGCGCATTAATAGCGGCCTTCAATGCTAGTATCGTCTCGCCCGCCTCGATGAAGTGATTGATAGCGGCGTCATAATGACCATTCTCTGACAAATGTTTTCCCCAATCCCTTTCGAGTTCGACCACCAAGGTGGGATCGATTTTACGTGCTAAGTCGAGGGCTCTGGCAAAAACACCGGCCTGGGAGTAACATTTGATTGCTTCGGAACCGGCACCAGTCTTTTCCAACAGTTCTCCAGCGAGTTCAGTGAGATCAGTGGCCTTAAGGCCACTAATTACCTCTTCGACGATTCTTTCATCCTCCAGCAACTCGTTGTCGGCAAGTATCAATCTGGCGGCTCGTCCAGGACGGTGAGCTTCCAGATAAAGCTTAACAGCTCTTCTAGGATTCGTGGTTTCTACGATGGAGGCAGCGCGAGCCGCTTGGCCAGTGTCAAGCAACCAAGCTAAGTGACGGTCCCGCAGTTCTGATAAACCACTCCAGTTTCGACTTTGGGCCAAATTTAGAGCATCTTCCCAGCGCCAGTAACGTTGATACATATCCAATGCTTTGTCCAACTCATTCTGCTCCAAATAGATCGCCTCAGCGGTTTTCAGGTCACCATTCAGTATGGCCAACCGGGCCCAACATTCTGGATTGGCCATTGGCTCATTGCCTGTCTCTTTAGCATATTTTTCACCAATCTTGAAACATGAAAGAAGAAAACAAAAACATACTACTGTGTCTCGAAAGAGATAGAGATATTAAATTATAAAAGAAAAAACCTCAGCGGTCTCCTTCAGAAATTTCGCGCAAGCCACGTCACCCATCGCAGCGTAGCATCTGGCAGCTATATCGAGCTTCCTCTCATTCATTGCGTTTCTGGCCACGTTCTCCCACATGGTCTCCACTTGCGGACCGTCGCCCATGTTCTCCAAGAACAGGATCACTCTTCCAAAGTCACTGTCATGTAACGCAGTGCCGAACTCGATCAGTCCTTCGTCTAATAGATGTGCCACTTTGATACCGTGCTCCTCTACCATCACGGACGTTCGACCATCTTCTCGGACAATATCTACCACGTCGCCCTTGATCGACGTCAGTGTAACTGCTTCTGGTGCGTCCACGTTGTACCAAACGGCCAAGGTTTGACCTGTCTGAGCGACGACGACGTCGCTACCAGTCACCCAAGATGCAAAAGATACTCCTGTCACCAACAAGGCTCTGCGATGCCATAAAATAAGGAATGATTAGAATAAGATCTGATACTTCATAAGTACTACTTCATAAAATTACTTGTCACCCTCGTCATCGCTAAGCCAAAGACGGCCTCGCTTGTCGCGCGATAGCAGTCTATGGCCAGCTTCGCTTAGCTCCAGCCAATCGATGCGGGCGCCGTGAACGATCATGCTGATGGTCGCACCGGATAGCAGATCAATCACGCGAACAGTTCTCGGGTCCAGCAGGTAGGCCAACTTCTTGTTGTCACCGCCACCAGCTGAGAGTCGTTCGTTTACGCGCACGCTGACCACGTGCGGATTCACCGCCTCTGTTCTCACGGAACCAAGCGCCTCGTTTTGGCCGTACTCAACGATCGTCAGTTCGCCAGAGCAAAAGATTAGACATACAACCGGATATTCGAAGAAAAACTTCTCGCTGCCAGATCGATCCTCCCATGGGATCTCGCTGATCAAACCCAGCTCGATATCGCCGATTAACAAAGTGCGTGCCGTCCGAGCCATCACGTTGTTGTCCCTACGTCCTAAGACACGCACGTCCTCGATCTCCAGACCCGTCTGCGATCTGATGACGATAGGTCGCTGTGAAGAGTCGCTCAGAGGTCGGATCACTACCTGGCTAGGACCCACGTAGGCGACCTCGTGACTACCGCGTACCACTGTGCGTCTGAAAGATGAAATTCATAGCGATACATATCTCGATCAAATAGTTTCCATTGATATGACATATCAGATTGATCGTCTACTCTTCAATAACAAGTTATTCTGCAAATAAAATAAAATAGGATTTATGTATTAATTATACAATCTCATATCAAGGATTTTTATATGATTTTTATAATAATCATCAAGGAAAACAGAAAGATGCAAAAGGACAAAATTTACAAAGTATTCAAACGTATAAAGAATCCAACAATTCCAAATTCCAGTCACCTCAAAATAGTCTCAAACTGCTCGACGTTGCCGCACAATCCGCCGACCACCAGCTTCGAACCGTCTCGTCTCCAGGAGAGCGCCGTGACGGTGTAGAAGTTGGGCAAGTCGCGCACGTTAGTCTCTTCCCAGATACTTCTTCGTGGCGACCAATCGAATATGCGCACTTTGTCCCAGGAACCTACAGCGACGCTCTGGCCACTTGGACTACAGCAGGCCACAGTGATCTCCCTCTCTTGAGAATCTCGGCTGAAATCGAAGGTCTTGACCGGTTTGCCGTATGGATCGTACATAGTCAGCCGTTTGTCGCAACCCGCTGCTAGGATATGCGATTGTGGCCACGCCAGAGCATAAGGAGGCACTCCGTGGACACACACGCGTCCCGATGGTTCCGCGTTGCCGTCTTCGGCAATGTAGTACCGGATAATGCTGCCGTCAGCATGGCCTGACAGGAAGCCGCTACCGCGGACGCTACAAATCGAAAAAGATCATGTAAATCTTATATTCTGATATCAAGAATTTAAGACTCATAGATGTTGCGAAAATATCAAGTAAATCTTATATTCTGAATATAAGAGATTGACTCATTAAAAATTTTTAATTTAAAAATGGCGAAAACAGCAGTTTCAATAAACTACAAGTTCACCTTGATGACAAATGCTCATAATATTACATAATGTTTTAAAATATTTGTTGTATCTTTTAAATTTTTTTGAAGATTTCTGAAAAATATCTTAAACTTCCCAGGTAGAACACGGAGTCATAATGGTATCACAGAACGTCATCATGACATCATTTGATACCTAAAAATTGACTTATAAGTGACGAATGAGGTCATGATGATGTCCTCGTAACTTTTGTGTTCTACTTGGGTTATTCAGAGATTAGACTGGTATACATAATTGAAATATCACAAGATGTAGCCGATATTAAGTATCAATTTACTTGCTAGCCAGAGCTATCGTCATAGCGTCGGAAGTGTATAAGGTTTGCGCCTTCTGCGACTTGACCATAGCCGCGCGTACTTTCCCATCCGCCAATCCTACGATGATCGGACCATCTACTGGCCAGATCAAGCAAGTCACCGCGGCACTTTGTCGGAATTTGTTGCAAATTACTTTCTTGTCACCCCTGAAAAATAATTTTTATTACTAACAAATAATTCATTTTCATTAATCTTTTTTATTTTTCTTTGGAAAATTGTATAAATCACTCTACCAATCTTCTCCTATTTTATATACATATACAATGCAATCGGTTTGGCCAACTGCAATCTTTGTGGATTCTGAAGAGAAGGCTATTCCCTTCACCATGTAGCTCTTTTTGCCAAACTATGGATAAAGGAAAGATATTGTTATTAATATCTATAAATCTTAGATTCAGTCGAAATTTTAAAATCTCTGAAACAGCAATATCAATAAAGGACAACTTTAGAAAATAGAAGGTAGATACCTTGGAATCAACAGGTTTAGTGGAGAATCTATCACGTTTTATACCATTTTCATCAAAAAGGTAAATGGAACGATCCGAAGATGCCACAGCTAGCTTTAAATTGTTTGGCGACCATGCTATGCTGATTACCCGATTTTCCAACTCCTAATATATAACATTTAAATATACAAATATCAAAATAATAAATTCTTTTTACATACATTTTGTTTAAATATATTTATTTATATATGTAGCATATTATAGATATTTTTATCTATACACATAATGATCCCTGTGAACTTCATATATATAAAATATTAAAAATTATTTTTTAAGAATCGAATTCAACTTATAAAAAGATGTATAAAGGCTAGGGGAAGCCGGGCCAGATGTTAATGCCAAACAATATTTACATAACAAATGATATTGATATTTATTAGACATAAGAATAATAAAAATAATAAAACTAAAATCGGATATACATTTCGACTTTTTCATAACAGGCCATCCTGAGTATAAAAAATATTTGATTAAACCGGCTTACATTTGAAAATTTTCGTTAAACATAAAAATTATGATACGCATCTTACGATTCGTCGCAATTAGTTGTCATGGACATAGTAATTTTCATCGAAGTTAATGCGCTTGTAATAGGAAAAGTACAGATGTGTCGGAATCAACTTATATTTTATACAATCTCTTAAAAATCTAATATAATATGTAAGCGTAAAAAAATACAAGACTTCGTAAGTTTGATGTAACAGTTGAGTCAATTGACAGTGTAATTACCAAAACAGTTCTTAATAAAAGAAAAAAAATTATAATAATGTAAATTATAATTATGAAAACGCTCTATAACGCCAGTGTAAAATTCAATTTTAAAATAAAATAAAGAAAAGCTCACAATGAATAGAATTCAACTTATAAAAATATGTATAAAAGAGCCGGGCCAGATGTTATTGCCAAATAATATTTATATTATGAATACTGATATTTATGACATCAAATATTTTTTATACTGAGAATGACCTACTATTGTGAAAAGGTCGAAACGTATGTCAGATTTTAGTTTTGTTATTTTTATTATTCTTATATCTAATAAATATCAGTATCATTTGTAATGTAAATATTGTTTGACGTTAACATCAGGCCTGGCTCCCTAATAGCCTTTATACATATATTTTTTACTTGAATTCTATTCGTATGAGCCTTTTTTGTTTTATTTTAAAATTTTATTGTAAAGAATTATTAGGAATTAACAAACAAAATTAATTATTCCATTTAAGAAGTTACCTTTTTTTTTTTTAAAAGTAACACTCAATTTTTTTCATAAAAGTTACCAACAAATCTTTAAAATGTATTAAAATCAAGTCTGTATTTATTCCTAAATAATTTCTTAATAATTTTTGAAAAAAAATATAATTATTTTACATAACCCGCGTTTTGCAGATACGCAGATACTCGATTTTCAGGACCTCGAGATTTAAAAATCATTGATTTGAAATAACAACATTCTACTCACCTGCGCTGGCATGACGGTACCTAAGTATTTTAGCAGCATGTTGATTTAATATTACTTTCAATTATCCTAATAATATTATTTACAAGGATTAATGTACAGTATTGACGTAAAGCAGGTGTATTCATTCGTGTGTACATGTCCGTTACCTGGCGACATAACTCCCACTACTTTGACCTCCGACCATAGCTTTGGACGGAAAATAATCTATAATTAGATGCAAAAGTATTGTATAATAATTAATTGAAGAGAAAAAAACGAAAAAATAATTAAAAAAAAACAATTTAGTAGCAAAAAGAGTATCAAAAATAAAATATAAATTAGTAGCAAAAAACAAATCTTACGTTTTCAACATTCCAGACTGTTAAACAAATAAATATAATTTGAAACATCGTTTTTTTTTATAGCTTCTATATATATATTACAATATCTATAATATCTTACGATGTATTTTTGACCAGAAGATAATTCTTCTCAGTACATAGAGGCTGCGGTCCATTTGATGCTACAAACAGTACAAACGCTTCGAAGCGTTTGAGCGACCAATCAGAACAAAGAATTATACGAATTGACTAATCAAAGAATGGGCGCGTTCAAGTTGACAAAGCGGCTAGCCTGCTCGCCAAGCAAATGAACATAATTGGTTGTTACTTATAGATCCAACCAATCATATTCAATCGCTCGGTAAGTATGCCTAGCCGCTTTGCTATCTTGAACTCACCCAATGTGCTTCGAAACATTGTTTGTAGCATCAAGTAGACCGCAACCAGAGTAGAATATTTTTTATAGCTGGACTATAGTGTGCATTTCCTGTTCTTAAAGTGAAATAGGATACATTTTTGAATAACAAGAACTAGAAGGAAAATTCTAGTACAGTTTAGCAGGAACAAACATACAACCTCTCATTTTTTTTTACTATATATATGAAATATATTATTTTTCTTGAATAAGCCCGAATTCTCATACGGGCAACAGCACTTTGACAGCGCGAGAGCTGTCGCCCGTATGAGTATCTAATGGCGAATTCGATTGGAAGAACTAGTGCGCACTGGTGCATATTAAAGCCGTTGTACACTAATTTAATTTAAGTATAAAAATGAAATGAAAATATTTCGAATTATGAAATACATATTTTACCTAATAGTACAATAAAATGTATTAAGTATTTCACGATTTAATCGATCTCTATGTTTATTTATAAACATATTTTTACGTTATTTCGTGTACGACGGCTTTAATGTGCACCAGTGCGCACTGAGTGCGTCCAATCGAATTCGCTATAAATTCAAAATTAAATTATCCAAAATTTTCCATTACGATCGACAGGTGGCGCTCACTGCATTTCGCAGTTTCGCGTAAAAAATCAAAGTTTTGTGACCGTGAATGATCGACTTTTTCGTATTTATTGTCTAAAATAACATCTCTTCATGCACAGCTCAGCTCTGCGAATCTTTAGACGGTACGTGCGATTTATTTCATTATTGCTTTTTACGTGTCACATTATATTTCGCGTGAATTCTTAGGTTAACGAAGCATAACCTTCAAATCTATTTGACGTTCGACTCATTATATAAAAAAGAATTGACATTTTATGTAAAGAATGTATGCTATATATACAAAACCAGTAGATAATAATAATAATGAGATATTAATTGTAATAAATTAATGTTAGCAGAAAATCATTTCTCTTTTAGAGTTTCTTTGACGTATAAGTAAACATATAAGGTTTAGTAAATTAATTTCTTAATTTTTAATAATTTTAATATTATTTTGTAATATTCTATATATTATATATAATTATATAAACATATATATATAATATTTTGTGTATTAATATTATTTTGTAATATTATATATATTATATATAATTATATAAACATATATATATAATATTTTGTGTTGAAAATAAGAAAAACAATATGTAACATCAGAAAATCATTTTTTCAAAATTATGATGTCACTCAATTTCACATGATAATAATCCTTGTTCTTTTTAGCTGAACTTCTTTATCGTTCATTGTTTCTATTTTTTTTTTCTTCAACATGAAGGGGAAAGAAGTTTAGGTACAAAGAACAAACTTTATTTATTGTGTATATATTTTACTGTATCTCTTGATGATTTATTTATTTGTCTATATGTTTTTAGGTTTCACGAACCGAAATTGCTAGGCACTGCAGCTGAAGTAAAGACGTGTATAGATTCACTCTTTATCAGACACAAAGTGGAAATAGCAATGTTGGACGACGAAAAGTTGAGAGACTTGGATATTCCTACACAAGAGGAAATTAATTCGCTATCTTGGCTACGCACTGTGGCTCCTGCTTTTCCAGTGAATGGCTCAAAGGTAAAATAATTATGCAACTCAGTTGTGGACATATTTGATTTCAATAAGAATGTGTTTTTCCAATAGGTTATTATAATTCACAAGCCACAAGCATTCTATAGTATTTTGTTAGAAAAATGCAGACATGCTAAGAAGAGAATCACATTTGCCTCCTTGTACTTGGGTACTGGCACCTTGGAAACCGAACTGGTAAGTGTAATAGAAACGAATGTAACATTTATAAACCTGACGAAATAATTATTTTGTATAAAAAAGGTCAACGGTAATTAATTATAAAAATTACAAGAAATTGATGAGAAGATTAAGGTTGAAGAATAAAATGTAATCAATTTTTTAGTTTTCAAAATTGATATTTTGGAATAACAAATTTGGGAGTCTTTTTATGTTTCTTTATTATAGGTGAATGTCATAGAGCAAGCAATTAGCACGAATGGCGGCAATATCGAAGTACGGATCCTACTAGATTATATGAGAGCTTCCCGAGGTAAGCAGAATTCCCGGAAGATGTTGGAGCCACTACTTAAAGGTAAATACGGAGATTGTTGCAAAGTCTTCCTCTATCATACGCCAAAACTACGTGGTGTGATGAAAGCAGCAATCCCAGATCGCTTTAATGAACTCATCGGTTTGCAACACATGAAGCTGTATATGATCGATAATGACTTGATCATTAGCGGGTAGGCCAAAGTTAAGACTGTCATTGATATTAATTAATTGAGAAAGAAAAAATCGGAATTTATATCAAAATTAACAGCAGATACAAAAGAAAAGAAAAAAAGTTGAACATGAAATATATATTGACTTATTATGTAAGGTAGTAATTGTTTTTATGTATCAATATTTGACTTATTATGTAGAGATTGTTTTTATGTATTAACATTGAAAAGGTCCTAGTTTAAGGACGAAATGTTTGTTTAAAATTTGAAAAACATTAAATATTAGCAATCAAGAACTAGCGTAGGTTCTTAGCTCTTTTTATCCTTTATTATATAGTTTTTATTTATAAAATATAATTATAAAAATTATTTTATGTTAGGGCGAACCTCAGCAATGATTACTTCACAAATCGACAGGATCGATACTTCATTATAGAAGATTGCGAGGAGCTTTGCAACTTTTATAATAAATTGGTTGAGAAAATAATGGAGTTTAGCTTTTTATTACAACCGGATGGTAATACGAGTTTGAATCCTGCTGCGAACTGTCATCCTTACAAAGGATTCGGGAAAGATTTTACCCAAGAAGCAGCATCCAAGATACAAATATTTTTATATAATGAAATAGAAAAGAATGCTGATCTCAATAAAGGTATACACTCACAATTATTCCATAGAATTTTATTCAGAGCAAGAATATTAAAAAGAATATTGGTATTTTGAGAATTAGATTTTCACAAATTAGATTATTTAATGTTTAAATATTGCAGATGCAGACACATGGATATTCCCATTAGTACAAATGGGCCAGCTAAATATTTATCATGATAGTGAAGTAACATTGAAGCTTTTGCAATCTGCTCCAGCAGGAGCCACACTCAAATTAGCAACGGGTTATTTCAATTTGACTTCCAAATATAGTCAAGCTGTGCTTGGAGATTGTCGAGCAACATGTCATTTTTTGACAGCACATCCAACTGCCAATGGTTTCTTTAGTATGTTTTCATTATATATTAAACAGTTATAACAAATTTTTTAAGTCCCAAATTTTTAAATTTTTCTTTACGTTAAAGAGAATCATATAAAATCGTTTGTTCTTTTTGCATGATTATAATTTATTTTTCTTCTCTTAAAACTAGACAAACAGTAGTTGTGTTGTGTGATCATTATTTTATTTCAGTAGTTAATCATTATTTTATTTCAATTATTTTCAAGATGCCACAGGAATTGCCGGAGGAATACCAGCAGCGTATACTAGAATAGAGGAATCCTTTTATAATTTATGTGAGAGAATGAATCAGCAAAGGAGAATAACGTTATGGGAATTTGTCAAACCGGGGTGGACGTATCATGCCAAAGGTCTTTGGTATACTTTGCCAGATCAGCAAAAGCCCTCGTTAACTCTTATAGGCTCGCCAAACTTTGGTAAAAAAAAAGTTATCTTGAATTTTAATCTTAATGTGATTGCAATAATGATCTCTCTTGAGGATTTTTAATTAAAATTACATTTCATTCCTTAACTTTAATCTTCTTTTCATATTTTTTTTTCTTATAATTTTTGTAATTTATTACTCATTTTTAGCACGATTAAATTGTATGGAATGTGAATGATTTAGGTTACAGATCGGTGAATAAGGATCTCGAGACGCAGATAGCTATAATGACAAGAAACGAGAAATTGCAAGAGGCGTTGCATGAAGAACAGGCACGATTGTTCTCCTGTGCTAAACCTGTTACGAGGAAGACTTTCTCACAACAAGATAGAATACCACCGGCCTGGGTATGCGCGATTGTATTCTTCTTTCGCTACTATTTTTGAAGCCAAAATGCCTTTGTAAAAAAGCAAATTCTATATGCTAAACTTATTTAATTTTAGTTGTAACATATTGTACAGTAAGTACAGGATTCCGTATTAACATTTAAGGCAATGACACACAAAAAAACTTAAGCAGTAATATGTAGGTAGTAAGAAAATTAACATTTCGGATTTGTTTATGTTATTGCTTTACATCTCTACTGTGATTTGGTCTTTTCGCTTATTGCTTATTCTTACTGCTTTACGTTTTTTATATATGTCATAGATTTTAGGACAAATCCTGTATTCTAAACTTATTTATGATTCTAGCTGTAACATATTATTAAGTACAGAATTCCACATTAATATTTAATTAATCGAACGATGAAAATATCCACATGAATTTTTATCAGACTTTTTATTGTATAGGATTTGTCGTTCTGTAAAACAATTTTTTATAAAGGTTTCGTTTATAAATCATGATTTTTTTATACAGAGAATAATAAAATGTTCAATTACGAAATATAGAGAAAGTTGGATCTGATATTAGAATTCTGAATTCTAGGGGATCTTTGCATCTTTTATAAATTCTGCAAATTTCAGAAATTAAACTTCATTTTGTAAGTAATAAATTAGCATTTTATTCTGTAAGTTTGCCGGCAAAAGTTGTGAAATCGGTGACGCGATTTTTTTGTGAGCTATCCTGTAGGGTATGTGATAAAATTTAATATTGCTACGATGCCGACGCTTCTTGTGCAGCGTCGAAAATATGAAAATTATTTTAATTCGGGCGAAATAATAATGACAGTAGCGGTAGTGATAGTAATAATAGTAGTAGCAATAACAGTAATACACGATTGATTGTCTATTGCCACTCATGATTCACGGATTAAGATAAACTGCAGCGATATTCGATCGCTGCAACGACAATGTATCGCGACACTTTGCGATGGGAACAGATCGCTATTTCACACTTAGAGATTTCCAAGACCGGCAATCGACGCGGCGATTAACAATTGTCCAAGGAAGAGAAGTTTATTTGTCGTCGATCACGAACGTTTCCTCTTTTACGAAAAATTCAACAACTTCTTCTTCCACGTTCTTCGAATCTGAATCTAACTCATCAGTATCAATATCTGAAAGTGCACATGACGATGATTAATCTCTCAAGTCATATCAGAAATATTGCTTATTTTCAGTATTATTAATGTAGTAATTTTTTCCATGCGTTCATAATTACTAAAGTATATACTTAATATGTACATCTTCAGTATAGATAATTTAATATATTTAATATACTCACTGCAACGTAATTCGAGACGACGCTTCTTTTGATTATTCCATTCATCGATACGTTTCGTACGATATTCTTCGAATGCCTTCATCAGCAAGCAACGTTTCTCAATTAATTCCTAAAAAATTAATCATTCGTTAAAGTAAATCACTTGCCAGACCTATGAGAATTTTAGAAGAAAATTAACGTTCTCGTATATTATTTTATAACCAAGCATGTAAAAATTAGAACTTATAACATATTAGAATATTAAAAAAATATTAGAAAACTATTTTTTATATCAAAAAGAAATAGGACTACGAACCATAGGTCAATCAACACATAGTCTAAATTAATAAAATAAACATAAACATTTCAACAGAAATCATACATTGCACATTAACGGAGAAACACATTACCGATTTCGCATCGTACATTTTCAATATGTTAGCGGAAGTACTGCCGAGATGAGAGGCAAGTTCTAATTTTTAATTTTATATATTTTCTTTGTTTTTGTATTCATTTCTAATATTGATAATGATCCGATAGGGATCGAAACGTTTGTATTGTTTATTGCCGGCAGTTATTAAAGTTTATTGTGTTATGTTTATGTTTATTTTATTAATTTAGACTATGTGTTGATTGACCTATGGCTCATAACCCTATTTCTTTTTGATATTTTTAATTTATTGAACCTTATTACCTATATATATTTTTTATATGTGTCTCAAACTAGAGAATAGATTGAATTTAACCAATCAAAGCAAAGTACTTTATTAAACATGATATTGGTTTTATTTTGATTGATTAATTTCAATATCTAATCTGATATAGAGACTTTAGATATTTAATATATCTTATTAAATGCACCTTTGAAGCACGCGTCAGTCGCATGCGATCTTTGCTCTCAAACTGCGCCGAGTATTTCTTCAAATTCTTCTTTATCTCCTTAATCTGCTCCACAGTGAGCAAAGTCGGAGGTCGTGGCCGCCACAATAGTTGGTTGAACGCGGTCAGGTTGACTCTCTTCAGAATACGGCCTTGGAACGTCCATATCCAGTAACCGTTGTCAACGCTGGTCTTCCAGCTGGACACTGCCGTGACGACATATCTAAAAAATTAATCATGAAGAAACAAAGTTAATTTCTTAGTGTAACTTCTATGCTTAGCTTCTCATATTATGCAGCTATTTCATTACAGTTGTTTTGAACGTACCTGCCAGTCGGGTCCCATTCCACGTCCGAAGTTTGATAATGATCAGTAGAGTTCATAATAGTGAAATCGTTTGTATCGATGAACTCCAAAGCACCAGCCATCGTTGTCAGACCAGCAAGGACGATGAATTGACCTGACGGTGACCAGAATAGGTGATTGCAAGCCTTCTTTTCCAATCTTTCTGTTGAAAAAGGAGCAATTTGCAAACATTAAATTTGAATCGATTACTTATAAGCTATTGTATTATATTAATTGCATCATATAAAAAAATTAAAAGCAGTTTCCGTGTAGTTGCTTACTGAGCAGGGCAGGTTGATGGCCGTATCGTACTTCATAGAAACTGACATTCACGCTGGGTATCTCTCCGTGAATGATGGCAAATTTGCTGCCAACCGGTTCCCATGCGAAAGCATGAATCGGCTCCTTTATCTCCACACTGTCAACGGGAATTTGTTTCTCCCTCATGTGGAAGATTTCGAAATTATACGACATACCCTGTAATGTAAAATGCGAATAATCTTTATATATAATAGCAATTATATTTTAATGATTATTGAAAAAATGTTCTCTTGTTTTCGTAAGTAAAATTCGAAACTTGTCAAAGATACTAAAAAATTATATATAATTTTAAAAAATTATAAATATATAATTGTATATGTGTGTATATAATAATAAGGTCTGTTCGCGTTGCTTGCACTTTTGGCACTCGGTATCTTCGCTTTCTCTCTTTTCAAGGCCAAATATATATCTATCTCATTTTAAATGCAAAAATATTTGGGGATTTCATGCAACGCGAACAGACCTAATAATATACATATTATGCTCTGTGCAAAAGATAAACATTAATCAACTCACTGTGTATTTTTGCTCTGTCTTTTCCTTGCGTTTAGCAAAGCGGTCGACTTTTACGCACAGGTAGTCACCAGATTTTTGCCAGAAGATCTTGCAGTCGGCCACGTTGAACAAATTCTTATTTCTTATTTCATTGCGGCTACGAATTAAAAATTTTTTAATAAAAAGAAATTCTTTCATGTCAATAATTTGAATGTCATTTTAAATTCAAGACTCACTTAGGAATTTCAAGCAAAGTTACTCTTGCAGGAACATCTTTATCTTCTGGCACCCAGTAAGCAAGGACGTTATCCGTCGGAGACCAACTAAAATCTCTGATTCCCGGGATCTTGATGCTTTTTTTGTCTAGCAGACCAAACGACTAAAAGATTAAATGCAACTATAGTGACTATAGTGACAAGTTACCTAGATAACACAAAGTTCAAAATCGGGATGTGAGTTGTCTGGGTACAAATTTAAAATAACAATGAATAATTAAAGTTAAATACCGTATTGAGGAGTAAAATGTGACTGAAAAATACTTACTGGAGTCTCATAGACACTGAGAATGTCCTCTCCCATGCGCGCTAGATATTTATCATCATGCGACCAACGAAAGATTGGCCAGACAGAAGATCCATCAGGGAAGAACGATCGTTTTTCCTGGCCTGATAAGATATCCCAAATCACTAAACGTTTTTGATCCTGTCCAAGATCAGTGCGCGGAGTATAGGTGACTAGGTAACGTTCACAGGGTGAAAAGTCAATGCACTCGACACCTCGCTGGCTGAATCTGGCCTGTTGGGTAAACTGAGGACCACCCCACAGCGCGACTCCCAGTTTATGGAATGTGGACAAGTATGTACCTAGATGTGACCATTTCACATACGTCTCTGTCCAGCGCTGAAATTAGAGAAAAATGGTTTGATTGCAGCAGCTTTGTAATAACAAAGTTAATTAATTTTGCTGCATAACACATTATGTGAATAATAAAGGTGATGCATTTAGTGTTATAAATGTTTTGAAGAGCATTTGTAGCATCAAATGGATTATAGCTGAAAAGACCCCGCACAGATCTTATGGAAAATGTCTCTCGGTTAAATTGGCTGAAATTAAAGTATGTTGTTGTTCTTGACATCCTGAAGAAAAGTCTCAATGGACACGACTCTCTAAATTCAATACTTTTCCATTTAGAGATGCTTTAAGTACATAGAAACCTGTTACTTCACGAACCAAATATATGAATATATACAGGGTGTCTTTAACAGATCACATCACCCACCATGAGCAGGTAAAGTGGACCTTTCAAATAAAACTGCTTACGTTACGTTCTTCGAGTAAAGTGGGCTCCGGCGCAGAGTTTTGCCAAATTTGCACTGACACACCTGCTCCATTGCCACAAAGAACACAGAACTGATCATAAGCGTCTGGCTCCAGCAGATGATAGTGCAAGTCGCTAGCAGCCTTGAAGGGCTGAGCCTTCGGCGGTTCCCAATTTTCAGGAATATCCTCAAACTTTTTGAAATCCGTGAAAAGATTGACCTTGAATGTATGTGATTTGTCGATCTTGTAATTATTGGTGGACTTGACTGCAGTAAGCGCGTTCAAATGATTATTGTACTCCAGAAAAATGTATCTGTCAAAAAGAAAGGAAATATTTCAAAAAGAGTCAATAATCATTCTGAAAGATATTTTTTTAGAGAAATAATTGATTTTTTTAAATTTAGACTAACCCTTTAGTCTTGCCATCGGTCTCATTCATTGGATAGTACTGATTGACTATCGTACCGAACTTTCCCAGGACTTTATTAATAACAGATTGAAGCTTCTCCAATTTGTCAGGCTCCACCCGAGGCACATTATCCACAACGATCACGGATTCCACTCCATCCGTTTCAGAAGGTTTCTGTTTTAAGATATCACCGAGCAATTCTGTAAATTTACAATACAAACGTATATTTATTATTATACGAACCATTCGTTCTCCTAACAATATAAGAATTTAGAAAACAATTTCAACCTTCTGGAGCTGAAGCCGGAATCTGTAACACAGTTATAGCTGGATTTATAAGACCTATTTAATTTATGATAATTAAAAGACTAATTAATTTCAAAGAACCAAAACGATTCGCATAAAAAAGAATATTTTAATAATAATTCAAATTTGCAGATGTAACATAAAAAATTGAATTGTTCAATTTTTTTGACAAAGATTCATAATTGAGTAGTTCCAATAGACCACCGTCAGCTCCTGGAAGATTAATGTTAATTTCTACCAACGTAGATTAACTCTAATTGATTTAATTTATTTTTTATCTTTTTCTGGTTCTAAGAATTAAAAAAGAATGAAAATTAAACTAAACTGAGATTAAAATTAATCTTACATTGGTGAAACCACCAGGTTTTAGATATTCAGGGTGTTCCAAAAGTAACGATAAATCTTTCGCACAGGGGCAGAATGGACTAAATTGAGAAGAAAGGTCCTCTACTAATTTTTGCAATAGTTAACAAAGATATTAATTACTAAAAATTGTCGAAAATTGGTCTTCAATTATTTTTTACTTAAATACTATCAACTTTACAGAAAAACTGCAAGAGACAAAAATTGTTTATTTTCTTCTCATAGAGCTTTAAGAATTTTTTCAAAATTTTTTATCAACTTTTTAGTATTACATTTTCTTATTTTTGTCAACATAAGAAAATACAGCATTAAAAAATTCTAAAAAAATTCTTCGAGTTCTACGAGAAGAAAACAAACAATTTTTGTCTCTTGCAGTTTTTCTGTAAAATTGATAGTATTTGAGTAAAAAATTATTGAAAAAAAATTTTCAGTAATTTTTAGCAATTAATATCTTGTTAATTATTGCGAAAATTGCAAAATGGTAGAGGACCTTTCTTTTCAGTTTAGTCCATGTTTCTACCCTTATGCGAAAGATTTATCGTTATTTTTGGAACACTGTATATTCAGCTTGGCGAAAGCGAGACAGAAAGTTTTAATACAGCCTAAAGCCTGATTTATAATGATCGTAACCGTTAATTTATGCCGGTGCCGGTAAAGTTCAACCATAGGCTTTTAATGCTTTCGTTCATACTAATTTGCCGAATGCTGGTAACTTATGCTGTAAACTTATCCGTAAAGTTAACTCAACTTTATCTTTAGCGGCAAGTGATCGTGTAGAGGTTAGTCAAAATTTACAAGTCTGTACTTGTGTGACCACTGTGACCGATTCTATATCATTTCTATACAGCTTTGATACGAGCTAAGATGGAAATAAACGAAACAGTTAATAGAGATATTAAATTAATAACCTTAGTGGAAAGATTTCTACATTTGTATGATAAATCTTTTACGGCATGCAGCAAATCGTTATAAACCAGATCAAAATTTACGGAACAAGTTTACAGTCTTTAAGTTACCAGCATACGGTTATAGCCAATATAAATCAGGCTTCTTATGCCTTTTTGACCAAAAGGCAAGAGACAAACAGCAAGAAACAGGAAACAAAGAGCACATTGTAGAATAGCTATTAAGCCTTAAGAAATTGATCAATCACAGTCGAATGTAAGAAAAATGATCGACTATGATTGATCAATTTCTTAAGGCTTACTCTATTGTGTTTACGGAGTAAGTTCGGATCTACAATAGGTGTTTTAAGACTTAAA